TGCAGGTTCGATTCTGGATCAGGGCACATACCTGTTTTGTGGGTTTGATCTCCGTTGAGGACGAGTATGGGAGGCAACTGATGGAAGTTTCTCTGTCACATCGTGTTTCTTCTCTCCCTTCCTCTGTCTCTATAATCACTAAAAAAGGCATGTCCTCAAGTGAGGATTAATTAAAGATTTGAGCTGAAGCCAATCCGTGTTCCTCCTGCTGCACCCTGTGGAGGCCAAATCATCTCGTTTGGGCCTCTCCCAGCTTCTGGCACAGAGGTGGGCATTGAAGCCTCGTAGAAGGAATTGAATTCTAGGAATTCCTCATCTGAGTTCTCATCTAAGAGCCCTCCTGCCACACCGTGTCCCTGCCAGGTCTCCGCCCCCGACTCCTGACTCCTGTCCGTGGAAGGAGAGGGGAGGACACTCCAGGCCTGATGGCCAGCCTGCTCTGCCCGCAGCTCCAGGAGCTGGACGTGAGGGGCGGGAGCTGTGCGGGGCTCCCAGTGGGAGGCTTTCTGATGAATGGCAGCTATGTGGGCCCTCCGGTTAGGGGGAGGGAGGAAGCTTCCTAGGAACAGTGCCTTCTGCTCCTGTCAGCATCGCCAGTGCTCTGGGGGGCGTGAGCACAGGCCCTATCCATCTCTCTGGCCCAGGATCAAGCCTCCCCCCACCCCAGGATCCTGAGGGACATTCACAGCAGGAGAGGAAGCGGCCTTGGCCCTGTGCCCCTGCCTCCCCCCACTGCTCCCTGGCTGGGGCACTGCCCTGGAGGCATTCATTAGCACAGCAGCTGGAGTCTTCTTTGAACTGAGCCTGGGGCACCTAGCAGACAGCAGGTGCAGTGCCCTCCGGCCTCACCAGCTCCTTAACAATGATGGCACCACCTCCTACAGAGCTCGCCTAACGCCAGGTTCTAAGCATTTTACAACTCAGCTTTACAGAAGCCCTATGAGAACGGTGCCATTGTTATCCCCATTTTACAGATGGGGAAACCGAGGCACGGGAAGGTGAAGTAACTTACCCAGGGTCACAGAGCTAGTAGGAGGCAGAGAAGGGATGTCACCCAGGCAGGTGGCCTTGGAGATGACACTTCCTACCCCCTGGGGAGAGTGCTCAGTGAGGAAGCCTTTTCTTGGCCTTCCCATTGGCAACTGAGCAAACAACAGGCCAGGAATAGCCTTAAATCGCATGAGGTGGAAGAAAGACGGGTCCCCCAACTGTGCCTGGGGCCTGAACCCTTCCACCTCCCAGGCTCACTGCTCCAGGCTTATGGCTTCCTCAGTGACTTCCAGCAGCCGGGCACTCTGCCCCGGGCACCCAGACATGTCCCCATCCTCACACCCAGGCTCCGTGTTGGACCGTCTCTGCCATGCACGCAGGGCGGCTTGGAGCTCAATGGGCCGGGAGCATGGGGCCAGCGCACAGCAGGGACTCGGGTTTGCTGCGTCCATGACGATGACTGTGGCACAGGCTTTTCCTTCCGGTTTCCAGGTAATTCTCTGCCTCATTTGCTCCGAAGTCACGCAAGGCCACAGACAGGAAGTGGGCCCGCGTAGACACCAGCATCCTCTTGGCGGTTCTCTTTTTCTGATGCGGTTGGAACAAACTTTCATTTTAGAAGGGTCCTCAGATGAGGGGTTGTGACTCCAGGGGACAGGGAGGACACTGGGGAAGCCAAAATCCATGTGGATAAGTGACGTCGGGATAGTTTGGGTCAATGCTCAGCCCTGAGAGGTTCCCGAGAGCCACCCGGACAGGGGACAGTGCCCAGCCTGACGGTGGCAGAGAGCTCGGGGCGGAGGACAGAGCCGGGCCGCGGACCGACAGCCTCCCGGCGCCAGGCCCGGAAGCCAGCACAGGTCACAGAGCTAGCAGGAGGCAGAGAAGGGATGTCACCCAAGCTGTGACACAGCCTGGGGCCATGCGTATTTATGTCACTTGTATATTTATAACATCCCTTCTCTGCCTCTTCCTAGCAGCAGCAGGGAGAGGGGCAGCTGGCTCCTCCCGCCAGGGGAAGGGTGGTCTCCACATCTACCTGGTGCTTTTACAAACACCAGGCCTTCATGGCAGCCCTGCGAAGCCAGCTGGCTGGGAGGTACCTTTCCATTTAATTAAGAAAGCCAGTCCAGCCCTAGCCAGTTTGGCTCATTGGGTAGAGTGTCAGCCCACGGACTGAAGGGTCCTGGGTTCAATTCTGGTCAAGGGCACATACTAGTACCTCGGTTCCAGGCTCAATCCCCGGCCCCCAGTTGGGTTGCCTGCAGGAGGCAACCGATCGATCTGTCTCTCACATCGATGTTTCTCTCTCTAAAAATCGATGGAAAAAATATCTTCAGGTGAGACTTAACAACAACAAAAGAAGCTGCTTTGCCACCATCCAGGCAGGATGGGATGGCGAGGTGGGGGCTCGGCACGCTCTGGCTCCCTCTGCAGTGCACGACCGCGAACACGGGACAAGGACAGCTGCGAGTCCCCTAAGGCTGCTGGGGTCCACCCCAGGCCACTTCCCAAAGAGCCGTGGGCCACTTTCATGGGATAGAGAGGAAAGAAGGGAGAAAGGGAGTAGAAGTGTGAATAAATAGAGAGAGAGAGACAGAGGGGGCTAAAGGGAAAAGAAAGGAAAGAAAAAAGAAAAGGAACAAGCCCTTTGTGACAGAACTCAACTCCCTGTGGAAGATCTCGGGAAATGGCCTATCAAATAATTTCAAGGAAATGACATTTCGACAACCAGCAAATGAGGCTTCCTCCCACTTCCTGCCATCCATCTCCATTTCTCTCTCGGACCTCTCTCCTCCGCCCTCGGTTCATTCCTCTGACAAGCGGGCCCTCCGGTCCTCCCTTCTGCCCTCCTCCGTGGCAGCCTTCCTGATGGCGCTGCATTAGGAAATCACTGAATCTCCAAATCTGCGATTGTTCCAGATTCCTCCGAGCCTCCCCCAGGACCCAGCTCCGGACATGACTCCAGCGGGAGTCAGCAGAGCACAGCCGCTCAGCCGACCAGGGAGAGCGCAGGGAGGGGCCCACCGAGGCCTGTGCCAAGTCATGCGTGACTCCAGCAGAGGGGGCTTCACCTGTCTGGGCCTCCATTCGCTCATCCCAGCAAAGTGGGGTGCAAAAGCTCTAGTTCTGGGCACATGCAAGCTTGTGTGGCTAAGAACAGCTACGGAGCCCCGTGCAGGGCCACCATCCCGCTGGCTTGGCCCTGAGATCCAGCTGGAACCTGCCCGCCCCAGGCCTCCCAGCCCGCCAGCCGGGGGCAGGAGGCAGGAGCCCCGATCCGTGCCCAGCACAGGAGATGCTACGCAGGGGCACCCAGGAGCTGGCCACCAGCGTTTCCAGCCGCTGTGTGCCCTTGTTTGCTGGTCTGAGGTCAGGCAAATCCACTAATTCCCTTTGTACAGCAGGGGCGGGGAACCTTTTTGCTGCCAAGAGCCACTTGCATATTTATAACATCATCCTCGGGCCATTCAGAACGATCAACTTCAAAATTATGTTGCTGTGAAAAAAGCGCCTAGATTTATTGAATTCTGAGTCCCTCCTGCGGTTGCTTTGGCAGGGCCGGACTTTCCTCAGAGATGAGCCCCATCGTGGGGTCAAGTTATCCAGGGCCCTGTCTCCTCTCTGCAGCTCCGGCGTCCACAGCTTCTTTCCTGACCAAGCACTTCTGTGCTGCTCGTTGCCCTGGAGACCCCAGATGTCAGCTGCGTGACCTCACCACCATCTTGGAAAAAGGGCTTATCATGGCCATTGGGCAAATGAAGAAAAGAGGGCTCGGAGGATGAAGGGCTTTGTCCAAAGTTGTACACAAACGAGCAGCGGAGCTGGGACTACGTGTGGCTTTGCGACTCCCAAATCCACGCCCCAGGCTGTGTCACAGCTTAAGACTCATGCGAGTGGACAGGTAATAATAATAAGATAATAAGAATAAGAATAGTCTGGCTGGTGTGGCTCAGGGATTGAGTGTCAACCTATGAACCAGGAGGTCACATTTCGATTCCCAGTCAGGGCACATGCCTTGGTTATGGGCTTGATCTCCAAGCGTGGGCCATGCAGGAGGCAGCCCATCAATGATTCTCTCTCATCATTGGAGTCTCTCTCTCCCCCTCCTTCTCCCCCTCCCTCTCCCTCCCCCTCTCCCTCTCCCCTCTCCCTCTCCCTACCTCTCTGAAATCAATAAGAATATATTTTTTTAAAAAAGAAGAAGAATAGCACTTCAGGTTCTGTGCTGAACACCTCAGGCATCACCCTACTCATCCCTGAACACTTTGGTGAGAAAGAGAAATTAATGTCTACATTTCACAGATGAAGGAGACACTGAGGCTGAGAGACGTTTGTCCAAAGTCACACAGCAAATGACAGAGGGGTCCAGGTCAGACAGCTGTGGAGTCCGGGTCCAGGCCTGGGTAGGTGAAGAATTTCAGCTGGGGGAATGGGACCCACGCCTTGGGTGACAGGAAGGCTGCCTTGCAGACGCAGAGCTGTCTGTCCCTTGCTGAGTCTGGGGCAGGGTTGAGTTGGTGAAGGAGGAAGCAGGTAACATTTGACTCCTTTCCAAGAGGTTTGGTTTATCTTGACACATTTCTGTACTTCCTGTAGCCGCTTATCAGTCCTAAGAACTGTGGTGTCGACCCGTTATCTTACATTATTATTGGACAGGGAGCACTTGACAAAGACCGCGGGGCGGGGGAGGGGTGAGGGGTGAGAAGGGGGAGTAAGCCCTCAACCTCCTTCCTCAGGGCTCTTAGCTCTGACTGCTTCCAAGCCCATGAAAGCAAGGACCCCGTCGGCCTGGCCATTACCATATCCCCAGGACGAGCACAGTGCCTGCCACATACAGTCATCACAGGGTGCACGTTTGCCGAGTGAATGAATGATTCCCTAATGGCCTCATCCCACTCGGTTGCTGTTCATTGGGTACCCACTGTGTGCTAGACACTGTTGATGGGGAGATACCTGAACATGGGACCAGCCTGAAGGAAGACTCAGTCCAGAGTGGGGGCAGAACATGACTGTCAGTACCACTTTAATACTTTTTAGAATAATGCCGAGAATGAATCAATCTGCAAAATGGCAAACAGCTTATCAGAGCCCAGAGGGAGGAAGGAGCCAAGTCCAGTGGGAACACAGGAAAAGGAACCGTTGATCTGCCAGGAGAGTGGCCGGAGGCGTGGCTGGTGGAGGATGTGGTGTGGTTTCAGCCTTGAGGAGGGGGACTTTGCCTTAAAGACAGGTGGGGTCGGTCCAAGCAGAGGCCAGTCCCAGCAGGGTATGCAGGTGGAAAACCCCTGCTTGAGGCCAGAGCAAGTGACAAGAGATGCCTCTTTGGGACCAGCCACCTATCATGTATTTTTCAGGAGGTGGGTGGGTGGGTGGGTGGCCTCATGGTGGGGTTGAAACATTGAATCATAATGAATTGAAGAAAGCAAGAGCTGAAGTTGGCATTGTAATTCATAGACGCGTCTTGTTAGATTCTGCTCAGAGTCATTCTGTGTTGAGACAAAATGTGATTTCATTTTCCCAGTAAATGCATTTCCAAAAACACCAAGGGAAATCTAGGACGCAGGTGCCAATCGCTCCGGGTTTTGGCAGCCAGGAGGGAGCAGGGTACCAGCCAGCATTTACACCGCCCGCCCGCAGGTGAAGTGCAGGAGTGCCTCCTGGCACACTGCAGAGCTCCCGGGATGCAGTCCCTCCCCTCCTGGCTAGGTAGCCAGCCTCTGGCCCCTACCCCCTGCCCCCAGAATTGGAGGCAAGAAGAGGGGTGGGCCGCTTGGGGGCTCCTAGGCGGGAGGGGGCTGCCCGCAAACCTGCTGACCCAGGCTCCACCAGGTGCCGCGTCCTGCACCGCCCGGAGGCCCCGCCTTGGTGTTTGCCCTGCTCTCAGCCCATTCCGGCGGCTCCGATTTGGGAATTTTCAGGCCTAAGGGGAAAGTCCCTTGAGAGGAATGTTAGAAAGAGAGCGAGCTCACCGGATCCGCCTGGAGAGCGCGGAAGGAAGGAAAAGCTCTCTCCCCAGCGGCGCGGCGGTGGCGGGCTGGAGGGCGCGCGGAGGGCGCGGAGTTGAGCAGCAGAAGAGGCG